CTGGGTGACTTTGGACCAAACACCAGGAGACAGTGAGTTCTAGTCCCACCTTAGGCATGAAAGCCGGCTGGGTGACTTTGAACCAAACACCAGGAGACTGTGAGTTCTAGTCCCACCTTAGGCACGAAAGCCAGCTGGGTGACTTTGGACCAATCATTCTCTCTCAGCCAACCCACCTCACAAGGTTATTGTTGTGAGGCAAACAGGAGGAGGAAGGTGTGTTGGATATGTCCGCTGCCTTGCGTTACTTGTGAAAAATAATAAAGGAGGCACACCAATAAATAATCAATCATTCCGTCCATTCGAAACCAATCCATCAACACATTTTCTGGTAGCCAAGGGAGCGCCCTTCTGCCCAGCACTAGGGCAGCCCCTACACACTTACTTTGAAGTTTGGCTGAGCAAAACAACGAGCCACAGCAATCATGGATGCTGTGAGGGGCCCGGAGACCCCGATGGTGGTGAGGAACTCCGAAATGTTTGGGGTGAGCCGGAATGGGACGGGACGGTTGGCGTCCAGATCCCCGGTAGCATCGTTGATGTCAAACCGGAAATAGGCCACGTTTAATTTGCCCGTATCCTAAGGTTTGGAAGGAAACACAAGCACAACGTTGGCAGGAGCGACAGAGAAAGCGGGGAAAGAAAATCGACTCCAAAATAATAATGCACAGCCTGGGGCCACCGGGGGGGGCCCTCCAAAGTCTTCCAGGTGGCCCCCAGAGGCTTCCAAACACTTCTAACGCCCCCCAAAATGCAATTGTTAACGTGATGGAAAGAGACAATGTGCAGGCAGTTCTCCACTTACAACAGTTCGTATAACAAATGTTCGAAGTTACGATGGCACTGAAAAAAGGGACTTCGGACTGTTTTTCGCACTTACGACCCATGCAGCGTTTTGTCAAGAGTATATTCATGAACTGGAATAGATCTTGGTAACAAGGTCAGCCAGTGAATAGGCACAGCAACTAAGCCAGCCAATGAGGACTGTTTGGAAACTGAAACTAGAAGTAGCCTAGACATGGCACTATATTAAGCTCTGCAACTATGTTGAGCTCTGAGTCAATTGAAAATGAAACTGTTTCTCTCCTCTTGCTCGCCTGCTGAACTAAAGTAAAAGAGAAACTAACTTGCTTGCTTGCTGAAGACTGGAGCTCTGCTCTGAAGTTACTTGCAACATGATTATTTCTGTCTGAGTTTGCTCCACGTTGGTGAAATCTACAACTGGTTTGTAAAATTTACTTATGTTTATAAAGACGTTGAAGGAAGCATCAGCCCTCTGTTGATTTTTCTGGCACTGAATTAATGCTGCAAAAAACTCTGGACACATTCCCTGGCGTCACCTGATTAAAATTCAGATGCAAACTGGCTCATATTTACGACGGTTGCCAATGTCCCAGTTGGCACGTAAAAAAAGCAAAGACCAAGCCGGGGAAGCCGGTTTCACTTTACAACGGTATGTAACCGCTGCAGGGATTCACTTAAACGTCCCTGGGGCAAGCAAGGTCATTACCAAACGGGGCAAAACTCGCTTAACCCAACCTTCTGCCCAGGGACAGAAATGTTGGCCCTCCATGGCGGTCGCACGTCGAGGACTTTCCTGTGTTATGGACGTGGAAGGGGTCCCATCCATTCGGTGGTTAATGTGCAGTTGCGTTCGATGAGTGCCATTTTGATGACAATGGGTTTAGATTTTAACCTTCCCTCCCCCTCCCTCGACATTATTTGGCTTGTGGGCCCCTAGAGATTTAAGATGGGGAGGGGAAAAAAGGAGGGGGGACCCCTCCTCCTATTCAATTCCACATCTGTGATAGACGAGGTTGAAGCGGAATGCCAAGAGACGCTTTTCGAACCGCTCAGGCAGGATCGGCACAGTGAGGTTAACAAGAAATTCGGCTACGAACGCAGCCCTCTATTAACCAGCGTATAAAGATGACAGGTATAAAACTCTCTCAGCAAGGTATCAATCCTGAATAATGGCTTCTTTTGTTGTGCAGCCGGATGGGTCGGCCCGAGGGGGGTTGGGGAGGAAAAAATTGCTCTTGTTTCTGATTTTTTCCCCCCTCTCTCTCTCTCTCTCCGCACACAGAAACTTTCGACGTTGTTGTCCCTGACAATGCAGCTGAAAAGGAACGGTTGAGAATTGGGAGGAGGGGGGAAGAGGGAGGAAGGGGGGGAGGACGTCCATTAAAAGGTTCAGCAAACTCAGCATATTTTCGCCTTAAGAGCAAGTCAAGGGGGAAACCCCTACCCCCAAAGAGTTCTGGACTTCTTCTCAACTGCTTCACTTCTCCGCAGTGGCCGGAGAAGACATCTGAAGTTCCTTCTCTGTGATGAACCGACCTGCTGTATCTGCGTGTTAGGGTGTAGGCAAAGAATAGACATGTTGTATCTGCGTGTAAGGGTGTAGTCAAAGAATAGACATGTTGTATCTGCGTATAAGGGTGTAGTCAAAGAATAGACATGTTGTAGCTGCGTGTTAGGGTGTAGGCAAAGAATAGACGTGTTGTAGCTGCATGTAAGGGTGTAGGCAAAGAATAGACGTGTTGTATCTGCGTGTAAGGGTGTAGGCAAAGAATAGACGTGTTGTATCTGCGTGTAAGGGTGTAGGCAAAGAATAGACGTGTTGTATCTGTGTGTTAGGGTGTAGGCAAAGAATAGACGTGTTGTATCTGTGTGTTAGGGTGTAGGCAAAGAATAGACATGTTGTATCTGTGTGTAAGGGTGTAGGCAAAGAATAGACGTGTTGTA